ACATGTGGCAACATCACCAAATGAGTCATTTACCTGGTTCTACAGCCTGCCCAGCTGCTAGATAATTGATCCAGCTCTGAAAACTTTTGTGAGACTTCTTTCCATGTCACTAGAGACTGCAGATGTTGTGGCAGATGCAGCAGAAGGATTTTGTGGACAGGGGAGACATAGAAAGTGAGGAACGAGGAAGAGGAAAATGAGCCTTTTTGCTGCCGACTTTCTCATTGAGGTCCTACTCCCACCAAGCTCTGTGGTGAAGAGTCATGTGTTTCTTCTTGAATGGTGTACCAAAATTCTAGGTAGATTTACCATGACTGATATTCTACAGACAAAGGCTGCAGACCACCACAGTGCTGTTGGCAGCAGACACGTTTAAAAAAAACCTGCACTGCAAAGCTCTGTGGACCGACCCTGTGCATAGCAGTGCTTCCTCAAGGTCTCTGCAAGCTGCCCCTGAACAAAATTTTTCTATGGTGACATTCTGCCCCTCCTTCAGAACTTTCCCCCTTTCGATTTTTGTGGCACCCATGGACGATCGTCCACTCCAACATTATCGCAATGGGGGCTCCAGCAACTGAATGGCAACTACAACGATCAAACATGTAAACAGATCTCCAAGCCCTAAACCTTGCAAGATGAACCAAAAAAATCAAAAATACAGAGCCCATAGAAGAAAACTTCAAGACACCTCTGCAATAGAAATATCTACTTTCATAGGGCTTGCACAGAAGTTCAATTTGTCATTTATAAAGAAAAAAAAATCAAAAACATGTATCTGACTCTTATGCAGCTAACGTTAAACAAACATATTTTATTACGAAGATAGAAAATTCTAAAGACACAAAACACAGGTTAAAAACAATGGTATACGTAATAAAACCCGCATAACCCCCAAAATCATCTTCAAAAAATGTATAGATACATCCTAGAATATATACCAAAATATCAAAAAACCTTTATCAAACATACAGTATAATGTATGAATAATAAGAATGAAATTAATATGTAATAGTGGTGTTAGTACTCTTTCAAAATAGCAACAGTTCCTTAAAGAACTACTGTGAGTGAAGTGATTAAGATTGTAGAATGGATAGGGCAACTGTAGAATAGCGGGTGCTGGTCATCCATTTTTTCCACTGAAATTATAATAGCATATCACCCTGCTAGCATGTTGGAAGGGCTCGAGACTTCTTATATCACTGGAAATATGACTCATCAGGTAGTTTAAAACCATCCAAAAGTATGACATAGCCAATCTGTAGAAGCTCTAGTGTTGTTATCCAAGGATTGCACACATGCGTGGTGACATCACAACACACATAATTTCCGTCTCAAGTCGTGATGTCACCACGCATGCGTGTGATCCCTGACACAATTCTGGGAAGTGTGATTTTGTTTGCTTCTGATCACTGCATATCTATATATGTTTTTTAAACTGATTTCATAAATATTTTATCATAGATTTCACACAATTGGAGCCTAGCACTCTTTTTTCTTTTCTCCTTTTTGCAAGTTGTTTGCTGAGCACAGTTGGGCTAGAGGAGAGACAGAATTCTATTATACCCTTACAGTAACCACAGAGTGGTGTTTACATTGAGCTCTGTCTGACTGCTCATGTGGAGGTCACAACAGCTTCTTAAGCCTTTATGTGGAAGTGGAGGTCCACTGGACACATGGTGGATTACACATGAAGATTGAATAATGTGCTGACATTTACAGAATTTGGTTTCATATATGTATGGACTTTGCGCACTTTGAATGTCACTGATTGAGCATGTTTGTTTGGAGTGACACTATAATGGCACAGTTCTGATCTGTTCACTATGCACTTTTTGATATGTTACTATTGATTATGTTGTGGTTTTATTGATTAGTGAAGTTCATCCCAAATGCACCTAGATTAACATTGTAACATCTTTTTATCATAGTTTCCTTTGCACATATCATCAAGGACCCTCTCCCCCCAAATTTTCAATCCATCGATTTTTATCATGTTTCAGGACAAAATGTCTAGCTGCTGGGGTTATCAGATTATACGTTTGTATATCATAGATGTGGTCATGGAATCTTTTCCTAACCATGCAGCAGGTCTTCCAACGTGCACAGGTCAGGATGTCAACAATAGCTGTGGTGTAACCAGTGACATTCCTAAAACACCTAAATTTCCATCCTGTGGAAACAGTCAGAGCACTGCCCTACTTCTTTATAAACAATTATTAATTAATAATGAACTTCCTTGAAAGCTTAATGAAAAGATATATTTATACAGTAGTAGTGTGTCATGAACAGCAACTATAGGTGTTGCTGGCACACATAAAAAGGTAGTCTTAAAAAGGACTGTTGTATCTTAGAAAGGGAGGGGGGTTCTGGTACACAAAAATTTATAGCCCACCACACCGCAGTCCAAAGAAGTTTAATGCACTATAACACAATATAGCTCAGTATAGCAACTGACTGCTCCTGTACAAACTATCAGCTATCCCTAAAATACTCCAAAACATATGGACAAATGGCTACTGGGAACCCATCCTTTCATTGTGAGGGTTCGGGTACACAACAAAACTCCCATTATTGCTTCTTCTGAGCCAGCTGACCTAAGTTCAAAGACCAGAAAGTTTTTGGTTACAAAAAATTTTATCTGTTGAATTTCCACATTCATTCACTGGGAACACAAATTTCAAACCTGCTGGATGTGCTACAATATAGTGGCAGATCCAAATTTCATCCCTAATGTGATTTATTGCACAGGGCCAACAAGTCCTACAATTCAGTATAAATATACAGTATATTTATGGCAAACAAATATGTAGAGCAAGTGAACACACATTCATGAGTGCTTTAGTCCATGTTCCATTGTGATCGTCTGTGTTACCCTGCTATTGGAACATTAAGTTGTTTGTGTTTGGTGGTTTATACTTATGTCTATCAAGATTAGACTCTAAACAAAGACAATATATTCACGATATATAGACAATATATGTTCACATATTTTTTGTTTAAACTTTAATGTACAGATTTAATGTTTCCTTTTTTTGCACTATAAGTTTATACCTGCAGTACATATCATGTCACCTACTTAAGCTTTTTGAAATGCTGTCCTGGAGTGACTGGACTACATAATTTTGATCATCAAAGGCAAATGATGAGCTGTGTGGGAAATAAAGTCTAAAATGAATAGAATGCAGAACAATAAGGCATTTGTCACTTACTAAATGTCTGATGTCTTAGTAGGAAGTGAGTGTTCCAGGGAGATAAGGACATTTCTCTAGAAGCACAGGTGAGATGACAAAGCCTCACAGATAACAATTCCTGTGGTCAGCTCTCAGGCTTGACTGGTAGATTATTTGTGTCCTTAGGTAGATTTTTAAACTTGAAAAAGATCTTCATTAAGTTTGATATAAATAACATGTAAAAAAAAAAAAAGAAAAACACCACGATGGTTTGATCTGTAAAATACACAAATATCTATTCTCGCTGATCTATTAGTGCAAGTCTTGAAGTGAGGTTCGCTTTAGTTGCCTCTGTTTTCTTTTTGATATCAGTGATCTTTTAAGTGGTGCCAGTGGCTTTGAGATATAGCTACTGAGCAATGATAAGAACACATTGCTGCATTGCAGCACAGGCTTTTTATGACTCCTAACACAAGTCAATGCATCAAATGAGCCAACAGAAACACTGAGGAAATACAAAGTGCAAAATGAGATATACTGTAGATGGAAGTACTGTAGAGATCTTTCTTGCCCTTTACACAGTGCTGGCTGATCTTTTGTTATTTACTTGCCCTAGGTAAATTCAAGCTGCGTGATGCAGAAAGACCCAACTCTTTCCTCTTGCCTAAGTCATCATAAACTATTACCAGCGCAAAAATGTGTTTAGAGTAAACCCGGGGCCAAACTTTGAACATTCAAGCATTTACAAGCTTTGACAAGCAGAAAATATGTTTTAAAACAAGCCCTCACTGACCTCTGTGGCTGCAGGCTTTGTGGACAAATTTATCCTAAAAGTTAATACCAGAGGCAATGTAGTATGAAGTTAGTCTACTTGTCAGCAGCTTTTGCAGGGACTTGTCAGCCTTCCATCCTTCTAATGCAAACACAATGCAGGTATCTTTGCATATATTAGAAGGTTGAATGTCTGCAAAGTCACTGCCAAGAGAAATCAACTAAAACCAGACTACAGTTTCTATGTTATGAATTTTAGAATGAACGCCATTGCTCCACAATGCCTGTAGCTGCAGAAATAAGTGAGGACTTGTTTTAAAGCTTATTTGGTGCTTGTTAGGATTGTGTAAGTACAAGTACGATTGTGTGTCTACTGCTGGGCTACAGGTTTACTTAATCTTCATAAATTAAGCGGTCTAGTTTAACCGCTTGCCTACAGGGCACTTATACCCCCTTCCTGCCCAGGCCAATTTTCAGCTTTCAGCGCTGTCACAATTTGAATTACAATTGCGCGGTCATGTAACACTGTACCCATATGAAATTTTTATCATTTTTTTGAGACAGATAGAGCTTTCTTTTGGGGGTATTTAATCACCTCTGGGATTTTTATTTTTTGCAAACAAACCAAAAACAACTGAAAATTAAAAAAAATTATTTTTTTTTAGTTTTTGTTATAAAATTTTGTAAATAAGTGATTTTTCTCCTTCACTGATGTGTGCTAATGAGGCTGCAGTGATGGGCACTGATAGGTGGCACTGATGGGCACTGATGGGGAGTCACTGGTAGGTGGTACTGATGGGCATTGACAGGCATCACTGATGGGCACTAAAAGGCAGCACTCATATATGGCACTGATAGGTGGCACTGATAGGCGGCACTGACAGGTGGCACTGACTGGCACTGTTAGGTGGCACTGACTGGCACTGTTAGGTGGCACTGATGGACACTGACGGGCACTGATGTGCACTGATAGGAGGCACTGATGTGCACTGATAGGTGGCACTGACTAGCACTGATAGGTGGCACTGATTGGCAGCACTGATCGGTGGTGCTGACTGGCATTGATAGGTGGCACTGACTGGCACTGATAAGTGTCATGAAAAGGCAGCTCAGATGGGCACTGATATGTGGTATCGATGTGCACTGGTAGGCACTGATGTGTGGCATTGATGTGGCACTGATGGGCACTGGCAGGTGGCATTGATGAGCACTGACAGCTGTCATTGATGGACACTGACAGGTGGCACTGCTGGGGCTACATTGATCATCAGGGCACACTGATCATCAGTGCCCTGATGATCAGTGTACATGTCCCCTCTGAGGGATGCCGATTACCGGCTTTCCACTCCACACAAGCTGTCAGCATGACAGCTCGTGAGGAGAGAAATGCCGATAACCGTCATTTCCCTATTTACATGTGATCAGCTGTGATTGGACACAGTTGATCACATGACCGAGCTGATATCTTCGGCTCATTCTGTTGATTGGTGATCCACTGTGTCCAAGGGACACAGTGCATCGCCGATCGCCGCACTGCGCACACCCTGAGCTGCGCATGCGCGGTTAGAGTGGGAGGAGGTCATATGATGTCCTCCCAGAACGAGAGAACCGCTTTGTGCCCATCATTTTCTTATATGGTGGGCTTGAGGCGGTTAAATTAAAACCTCACTAATGGTGTTCAAGTAAGAACACCATTTATAAATAAGCAATTAGTATTGATAATTTTTTTTTTCTAAAATTATATAAATATGAATGTGGGTGTGACAAAGGGTACTGACCTCTTTTGTCTAACCATTTGCCTCTTTTGCCTAACCATTGTCTGTAAAAGGTGTAGACAGGGGTGTCTAACCTCTTGACTTTCCTGGGCTATATTGAAAGAAAAGGAATTGTCTTGGGCCACACATAAAATACACTAACAATAATGATAGCTAATGAGCAGAAAAATTCAGGCAGATCACAAGGTAACGATCACTGATATACTGTAAATAACCTACCTATCTGAGTAATAAAACTTAATTTTTTTGTATTTTTTTATATTATAAAAGTAAAAGAGGGCAACATAAACTAGTTCTATATTTGACACTGTTTTTGATAAACTAACACATCAATATCTGGTTCAATGGATGTAGTAGCAATTCTTCAAAAATTCTCAAGGTGCTCATCAGATATTTTGGTTCAAATTTTGCCCTTTATGTGCTCTACCCTTAGTTACTCACAAATATAGACTATCCATACAAGTGAGCTGCTGCAACCCAATTTACTATAGTATATGGTATAGTGCTTCCCAATAGATACTTGTGAATGAATGTCAGCAACAAGGTGGAATGTAAATTAATTGCTGTCAAATGTTCTTTTGCTGCATGTGTAATCAAATTTTTACAAAAATTTTTTTTTAAAAATCAACATTTTTAAGTAAGTTTATGATTTTGTATTGGTCCGTATTCATAGCTGTTTTGGGCCACATGCTGCCCGTGGGCCTGCAGGTTGCATACTCCTGGTGTAGACCATCCCAATTTTTCAACATTGCAGCACTGGGTCCAGGTGGAAGCACCTGAGCCTCATGTGGTGTGAAGATCCCAGCGGTGCCTGACTTGAGGTCAGGGAAATAAATTCCAGAAAAATTATCTTGTTCGTAATAATTTAAATTTGAGGCAGATAAAGAAATACATTTTTTCAACGACAAAAGTACCATGCAATACATTAATTTAAAAAAAATACCTTCAAGTCCTCCCCTAGGAATGAATTAAACCTGTGTCATCTGTTCATGATTGTACCTTAGAGTGGGTGGTGGCATCTTTTCATGTATGAGTTTGTTAGCTAACAAGCTACCCAGGTCACCTGTATTATAGCTTGCTTGTCTTTGTTACTTTGTGCTTCATTTAGCATTTCAAATGTCAGATGTCATGAATTACACATTTAATTCAAATATCTTTATTTAGTCAGCAGTAGGTAGAATTTTAATGCATACTGTTAGCTTTCTGGAGCCTCAGACATGTAGGTGCAGTCAGCATGACTAGTTCACCCATGTTTTGAGCTCTCTGAGGTTTGGTTATGAATCACTGCAGAGTAGATTCAGAAGATAGTTCTTTTATGTCTCAAAAAGATTTCTCAATCAAGTTAGTAATTGAAATAACAGGTGTAACCTCAGTACTATAGGGTTATATTTGGTATCTATAGCCTGAGAGTTTCCTGTTACTTACAGTACATAGTTGTGAATCCTGTGGTTAAAGGATAAGTTCACCCTCTCCCTAGCTGGCCTTTAGTCCTCAATGAACTACCATGAACTACCAAGGTGCTGTAGAGCACTGTGGTAGTTCATTTATTCTTCCTGTCAGTATATCTCGCTCACACATCCCATACGGGCAAGCAGATATACAGACAGATCTGCAGGAGACCTGCATGGCACTAGCCATGTTTTACAGGCTCCTTTACCTGCAAAAAAATGTCCATTTTTTATTTTACTAAAAGGTGAACTTATCCTTTAAGTAGGCATGCATGCAGAAAACGTTTTTCTATTCATCTTTCTTCCTTATTCTAACCCTTGCACTCTTCTCCTCCTATCTCTTTTTTCCTTTTTTTCATTATGTTATTTTTTGTGTTAGCTGTACATCGTACACCTATAAATTCATATGTACATAAGGTTCTTCTGTAACTTAGTGCATAGTAAACTATATCCTTATTGCCAAGAACAACTTTCTCCTTTCTGTTCTATCCTTGATTTGTTGTCCTTACTCTTGCATTTGTATCACGTTATATCTTCTTTATTTATGTCATGTATGTATAGTGTATTTATTCACACTTACCTCCACCTCATACTTTGCATTTATAGTCTTATAATCTAATGTACCAAGAAGAATAGCCCTGCTTATAATAGCCTACTATCAAATGAGGCAGTACCTTCGGGACTTACAATTTTAATTTGTGCCTCCTATCAGTTTAGTGCTTTCTTCTTTCATTTTTTTTGAATTCCCGTTCCTTTCTTTTCATGTTCATGAGGGATTAGGGTATGTTATGCATTGTAACGCAACAGCTGGTGATCCAGGAGCACTGTACTATTCCTTCTTTAATTGCCTTTATGAGATGTATGTGTGACATCTCTTTGCCATCCACAGAGTGCAAGGGACAGATTGCCATGTACTGAGCTGTGCTGCACTCAATATTTTTTTTAGGTCACACCACCCACTTAGCACTGCAATGCTGGGGTGTGACCTGGGCAAATAAGGAGACAAATCAAATTGCCTTGTCATGTGGTGGGACTGCACTGGAATAGCTGACAAATGCAGGACCACCACATCTAGTTAGTTAATTACAGTAATATGGTTTATTTTAATTATATTAATTATCGTAATATGGTTTACAATCTAAGAATTAATTGGTTATTGTGCTTTAAATGCCTAATTTTTTCAAAATAACAAATTACACCCCCTGTTTGGCATACAGTATGGCGTTTTTTAAGTTGCTTTTCTATACAATTAAGTGGATTCGTGTTTTATTGCGGCCTCACAGACTTTCCTTTGATGTACAGCACAGATGTGCGAACTGGGCTAGCACACACGCTGCAGGATTGTGGAGTGTGGGAGTGGTGAGCCTACCTGGAGCAGAGCTACCTTCTCTTTTTCAAAATAACAGTAAAGGGACATTAAATCTGTTTCCCCCCAGTAATGAGACTTCAACCTGAACTTTGTTTTTTCATATAATAAAAGTGTGTAAAGCAAGCGCTCAGATGTTTATAAAACTAACTAAAAATCATAGATATTAAACATACAGCAGCAATTGCACCAACAGAGGATATCCTAAAACCCAGTAAGAATAAATATCAATAAACAAGTGCAGTGCTAAAAAATGACCGAGAATTGTAGACCACAACGTTAGGTCTCCTCCTTAATGCGTTTCGTGTAATAGCACGTTGTCAAAAGGGGTGTGCACGAAACGCATTAAGGAGGAGCCCTAACGTCTTATATCAATTTATATCAATAAACAAGTGCAGTGCTAAAAAATGACCGAGAATTGTAGACCACAACGTTAGGTCTCCTCCTTAATGCGTTTCGTGTAATAGCACGTTGTCAAAAGGGGTGTGCACGAAACGCATTAAGGAGGAGCCCTAACGTCTTGACGTCAAAGGGTGGTGCACGAAACGCATTAAGGAGGAGCCCTGCCGCTAAAGCCGTACGAGAGCTCCGGGAGCGGCGGCCATCTTGGATAGTGGCTGACACAGCCACATTGAGACATATGAGTTATCTGTGCACTGGAATACTATTTTAAAATTTTATGATTCATTATTGCCTTATAATTTTTTGGATATACTAGTATTTTATGGATGTCAATCCACAATAAATTTAATTTTTACAAAAGTACTACACTATGCAGATTTTTTTTTTCATATATGGCTTGGCTTTGAGCCAATTGCTCTTGGAGACCCCCAAAGGAAGCAGAGCTGCACAAGAGACTGGTGTCCGGGCGAAGGATCCTTACCCCTGGTTGATCCACTTAAAGGGGACCTCACGGATATTTGATGGTTTAATGCGCATATTCTATGTGCTTCTGGTGAGTGCGCATTTTATAAATAGATGCACTCGGTCACATCACAAGGATTAATACTATCTATGAAGTTGGAGTTCACTGCTTGAGATTGCTGACCTTCCTGAGTCAAGCCTGCACGTTTACTTATGCATATTAAGACTGTGTGTTCGTATCTATTTTGGGTGCAATACATTAGCACCGTGTACACTTGAATGTATAGTAATTTTATTTGTTTGAATTATCTGTCATTTTTTAGTGCTGCACTTGTTTATTGATATTGTTCTTTCATATGCTTTATACAGTAGGCAGGATTGGTTCCCATTCTAACAGTGGAGATATGCCAGTTTCTATGGGGGGGTCTTCAGAAAGTTTCTACACTTTTATATATAAAGAGTTAAAGAATTGCAGAAACTTTTTGAGGAACCCTTGTACTTTCTAAGATCTTTCTTTTGTAGTTTCCTTGTAGGATTTGAGTCTCCATATTGTTATAGAGAGTATACTAAAAGGTATGTGAGCTGTAAGTGTGTCATATATGTTATAGCATTTATTTGTCACCTTTCCCAAGTGACCGAGAAATAAAACCTTGGGGGTAGGGGTTGTATTGAATCATGCAGTTGTAAGCCGTGTACCGGGGTGTTCTCCCCAGGATACAGTGAAGTCACGAACGAGGAAAGCAACACCAGCTTTTGCCACAACAGAATTTTACTTAGATGTGGCAAATAAACACAACCACAAATGCTGGAAACATACAATAAATTTACATACACCCAGTCCAAAGGCTGAGACCCCTGTGCTGCACAGCATGGCTCCTTCTGATGGATGAAGGTAGAAAGTGAAGTAATTTACCTACTGGCGGGCACAACTAAGCTGCCACACCCTACCTGTTATTACCCTAAAAGAGCAGGAATCAGTGTATGGGTGTATGGTATGGGCTAGCCTGCGGTGCAGCACAACAGCTTACAATCTTACACAAATCTACAGCATTCCCCCTCCCATAACTGGTCCTGTAGCACGTGCCTG